AGAGAGTTACTATGAATGTAAATCAGAAATCACCTGTATTAACTTTGTATTTTTCCAGGAAGCCCATAACAGGTAAGGAAAACAAAAGCAAGCATTAGCATTTCAATTGATAATGCAGCTCCTGAAAAAAACCTCTCTGATCATTTCCTAACCCACAAATGAACTATCCATAATGTGAGACATTTTCTGGGAGAAGTCCACTAATTCAACGAAGTAAATCCTTATACTAACCACATATTAAAGAAATCCAGTGTCCAAAGAGCATAATTTTGTTGTCCAGCTATAAAACTCTGCCTTCAAGCCTTGAAGCACAGTGTATACTATTTCAGAGTCTTTGCAAACGCGGTACTAAATAACAAAATAAGAGAGAAATATGCTCCCAGGCAAAGCTGAAATGTAATGAAAATTCATTCAGCAAGGCAGGAAAATGTAAAGGAACAGAAAGAAAAACAGTTGCTACAAAGAAAATTCTGAACAGGGCAGACATATGATATGGAGGCATGCTGAAGCACATGCATCTCAAACTGTTTCCTTCCTAGGCAAGATAGCCCACCTCACTGTAGTGTATCTAATATAGTGTATTTTTAAGTTTAAGGCCATAATGAGCATTAGACTTGGCATAAAATATTCTAAGTCCAACATATTTAGAATAATATAAACGATTCCAGAGCACATTTTCTTCCTTCGTGTTTTAGGTAAATATAGACACACTAGTGCTAGAAGCTCCACACGTCTGCAGGTGCTGGCTTTTAACAAAGAAGCAGCAAGCACCCTCCTTACTCTTGTCAGTAGTCAAGATGCTAAGAACACTGCTGTATCTTTCTAATCACAAGCACCAAGGTCTCCAAGTCTTACAGGATCCAGACTTGGATCCACAGCATGCAAACCTCCTTCACTTTGCTTCTTATTTCTGTAACAGTTTCCTTCTCAACCTCCATGAGTACTTTAAGTGGTCTTACTTCTGCCAGGAAATAGTCATATTCAGCAAAGAGTCTGCTTTCTAAATAGGATCCCAAAACCTCATTTTGGTTAACAAGAAACTGTGAGAAACCAGTTCCCTTTGCAAAGGTATAGTCAGGCTTCTGAGCTTAGAAAGCCTCTGTGTTAATTAAATCAGGACTAAATAAAGAGCAGTTATGGTCATTACTTCCTTTTTTTTAATCTGATCAATTATATAATTAACATTATAAGCCCACTTGGGTACACAGGCCTCTAATTCTGCTTGGAGCCCACAGGCAATGTATGTTGATACTACACAAAGGCACTCCTAAGAAAGATAACTCATTACAGAAAACGAAAGACGAGATTCAGTAAGACAACAAATGATCCTCATTTCTTTCCCCAATTCCATTCCAATTCAGCAGCTTACACAAAGTTCAACTTAACTGCAAATAAAGTGTCATGCTTTGTTTTTTAAAGCTTAAAATATAACACAAGCTCAATCTACAAAAGAAGGACTCCCTGATTTAAACCTATGCTCCTACCTGTGATCAGTAGTAAGAAAAAAAAAAAGCTTTGAAATTGTCCTTGTCAAGAGAAGGATGCAAGGATAACAAACAGAACTAAGTAAATGTTTCAAAAACATGCCACAGTTAAAACTCCGCCCAAGGAAAGAAGAAAAGACAGAACTGTTCTTTTTCTTCAACCTACAACAAAGTTGAACTTCCAGGCACACACAGCATTTACCTGAGAAAAATGAAAAACTGAAGATGACCAGAAAAGAATGGCAATCTGTAACTAGCTGGGCATTTAGAATGAGCCCCTTTACTCTGCATAAACTTCAGAGGCTTCTGAGACTGCAGAGAACTGTAATTCACAACTAAGGACAACTTAACTCCTCATCCCCATCTCTGTCTCTTTTTGCCTCTTAAAAGTTCTCTCCCTTACAGGAACACTTCAGTGATTTCTGGCAACGGTTGCTAAATTACCTTGTGTTACAGTCCTGACTATTATAAAAAACAACAACAACAACCCCAATCCAATACTTTCCTTCCACTCCCCCATTTCATTGCCAACAGGCCAAAGGCAAATACCTATAGAGGAGCACAAGACAAGGACACAGCCCAGTTTGCCTACTAATCTTTCAGCTTTTTGCCCTCTGTTTTTGACCTCTTTGTTAGAAGGATTTATCATCCAGTAATTTGTCTCATCAATTCAAAGGTAACTTTGTACTCACAACCTCTGCCTTTAAGACACATTGCAAGTTCCACCTTGCTTTTGTCCTGACACACCACTGGTTCTCACTGGCCCCCATACTTAGAGAAACAGCGAAGAGCTGCTCCCCATACGTGCATCCTCTGCATTCATCAGTTCTACAGACATTTTTCCACACATGGCACAGTTGTCTATCCAGGCAAAAAACTCCTAACTTATTTATTCATTTTTCACATTAATGAAGACTATCACTAATTCTGACTACATCCTAGCTGACTTCTCCTTTATCATTGGTGCTTCAAGACTGACACCCTCGTTGTTCACCCAACATGCCCACCTCACCCAAGGCTAATTCTTGGCCCCTCAGTTAGTATCAAGCAGCTCCTCCACTATAGGATAGCTATTTAATTTGCTTGACCATGTTGAACATATATGGAAAAGAAATTGGTGCTACAGAAAAGGAAATGGGAGAAAACTTCCTGGATTCCAGTGAAAGCCAGGGCACACAAAACTAAGAGGGATACTTGGTTGAGCATGTCCAGTAACAATCTCATTGCTCTTGAAGTATGAGGATTTGAGATTGGACAATGCAGTCATTATACATTCCTAATTTTACAGGAAGAAGAGCACAAAACAGCTTCAGCTCCAAATAGAAATATAATCTAACCCAAAAGAGAAGACTATCACTGCAGACAGGGAAATTATAAACAGTATTCATGTTCGTAAGGTCAGTTATTCTGAGTTTTCTAGTACCGAAGATAGATAATGTAAACAAGTACCATTACCTTCCCAGATACATCAGACCTTAAAAAGAATCTGGCTTTGAAGAAAGTCTTGCACTGGTGATATCATCAAATCTACCCTCCGACAGCACAGCAGGCTGACAGTTATTCCAGCATCAGCAATACTTTACAAACAGGCAGTATGTGTGCACACCTGGGCCACACAAGATGCTCTCAGGCACTGAAGACAGCTAGCATAGCGCTAGCATTTTAAAAGAACTGGTAGAATAACCCAAGTGTTTAGGAGTATATCACCCTTCCATTGAGCCCAGGCAAACTAGAAAGAAGCTCATATGAATTTAAGAAGGCATATAATTCAGTAATGATTAATTTAATCAAACTGAAATCTGAGCAATAGATCTGACAAAATGTAATTTTAAGTGCCGGAATCCTGCCTTGATAAACTTTACAGAGGTATTCAGTCCCACACTTCCTTTAACCAAATGAATCATCATACAAAATTAACGTGAAGAGTGCCATGAACTGGTTCAATAACAGATCTCACAACATAATTACAAAGTCAATAAACAGGGATTTTTGTCATGGAGCACTGCAGGAATCATCATGGTCCAGACAGCATTTTTACCAGTAACTCAGACAAAAACAAAAGCCTTTGAAAATACAAAGGAATTGGAATGTAGAAGGTGGCACTGGAAAGTAAAGTAAATAAAATACTGACACAATGAAGCAGAATTGTTTCTCACACAGTACAGGGGAGACAAGAAAATATTATCAAAAGGACAGTGCAAATTTAGAACACAAAGTGTCAAAGTAACTCTTGAGAAGAACTTCAAATCATGACAGACTGCACAATATTTTTGAAGTCTCAGGACCACTATCAGAAGCTTCATGCTGCCATCTAGAGGAGGGCAATCAGCAGGGTTTCTTAATTCTGTTTTTGGTAAGCAGTTTTGATCATCACTATGTAAAATGTGAAATACTAAGTTTCAATCCAAAAAGGCAAAATCAAATCATATACCACTGAAACAAAACCTACAGCTTAATTGAGAAGGCCAATCATCTGCCAATCTTATTATTTGATTAAGATTTCCATTGTTAAAGTATAACTTCTACTCCACTAAAAGCCTTATTCAATCTTTGTAGATGTTAGCACTGAAAGTAAATTTCTACCTACGGAGAATGTGTTCAGACAGGCTTGATGACCTACTGATAAGAAAGCATTTGGGTATTCCAGGCTTACTGTCATGAGACTTCAAAGTTTAACCCACTTTTTGTTACCCACTGAAATGAAGCTAAAAATCTTTAAGTCTAAAAATGTTCAAAGCTACATGTAAAGCCCAAGAGATAGCTGTAACTGAAGTCTATGACAAAGCAAAATAAAGAAGAAAATATTAATTGCATCAACATGCACAGGTACTGCTTAAAGGAAACACAATCCCTTTGGAATCTTCAAAGCTGGACCACCACATTAACAGCAAAATCCTAAATGCAATGATGACAAAAAAAGGCATCTTTTTTCCCCCTCCTTAAAAAAGGCACAGACATGAACTGGTTGTTGTAAGTGGGATGAAGGTCAAGTTCAGAATGCAGCCACAGTACCTCCTGCTATTGCTGACTATGGAGAAAAAATAACTGAGAGGCCAAAAGCTGCAAGAGCACTAATGGCTAACAGAATCCTTCACACCAGTTAAATTTTTACTCTATAGGCAGTACAAAAGGTTTCATGGAAGTGCTGGCACAGATACTCTGATAAAGAGTGTTAGCATCTAAGAAGCAAAACCAGTGATTCACCTACACCAAAGCTAAGTCAGAAATTTATGGGCCACTAGAAAAACCAGACCTTAACATACAAAACAGGAAAAAAAAAAAAATCTAAAATAAGAAATTCTTTTAATTGTGCTCTATTAGGCTTCACTGCACCCATGACAGACTTGCTTAGAGAAGCATTCTTTTCTTCTTCAGAAAATTCTCTACTGCTCTGTCATAATTGTGCACCACTTCCCACATCTGTAAATGTACTTTTCTGACTCTAAGTGCAACACAAACGCACACTTCAGTGGCAAGATTTATAACACAGTGGTCACATCTGTGCACAAAACTCACATTCATCCAGTCCCAGCTGATAAGCCAAGTTCTGCAGGCCACGAACCTTTTCCATCAGGTTAGCTATAGTGAGGCTTCCCAGCTCTAAGAAGAAAAAGTGTGATTTTTAACACTGTCTGTAGCCCTCTAGTGGCAGTTTATATGTTTACCACTTCACAGAGTATTCAAGTCACACTTTCAACACTATCAGTTTACAGTGTACAGCATATATTCTTCTCACAGCTCATAACAACCAGCAAGACATTCCAACCATTTCAAAGCAGGAATGGCAAGCAAAAAAAAAAAAAAAAAATAAAAATTACTGGATTTACTGGTTCAAAAAGCAGTAACAAGGAGAACAACTGCATTTGTAGTCAAGATATATTCTTATAGGACTAAAATATAGGTAATGAACAAGACAAAGACTCCTAAGCAGAATCATTCAGCTGGAGATTCTGATTTTCTAATTTTGCAGATGTAAGGACAAGAGGCCTGAGGCTATGGGAGTTACTGACAGGAGCCTCCTGCCTTCAGAACTGAAGCAAATTAATAGCATGATAAAAAAGTAAAATTAGCATAAAATGTTTGGGCAACCAGGACAAAATCCTGGAAGCACTGAACAGAATAAGAGGAGCATCCCCCATCCCTTCACTTGCAGAAGGCTTCAGAAGGCCTCCGAGCTCATTAGGCACTGAATTTCCATCCACAGCCAACCTCGCTACCTATGGTGCTCATACTCACCCTTTAACATATCGATATCATCATTTTCCAGTTCAGCCATCCATTTGGGAGGTGAGTTTGTAATAGGCTGGTTTAGGGAGAGAAAAAATAAAAAAAAAGACAAAAGGCAAAGCATGCTCAGATAAGTACATTTTTAGCAGCATACAAAGCCTGATCTAACATTTACAACTAGTTACACTGACAAGATAACTGGCTCCAGGTACCTTACAGGGACACTCTAATGCCTATTTCTATTTTCTAGCTCTCCCTAAGCAAGTCGGGAGTTACAGTAAGACACCAGCTGAAGCCAGCAGCAAGAGCAGCATTCCCCAAGGCTAAGGGCAGTGCCTTCCTCCCGAGCTGTGACAAGTCGCAGTCACAGTAAGAGCCACACAGCACGAAGTAGGGACAGCTTACGCTTTTGAAGGAGGCGGCGAACTCGGCGACGCCGGGCACTGGAAAAGAGAAGCGAACAGCGCCGGGTGAGCGCGGGGCCGGGCCGGCAGCCCCGCCATCACCCCACTCGCACGGGCCGGCCGCACTCACACTGCTCAGGCCACAGATCCGGAGAAGCCCGGTCAAGCTTCTCAAAACTCAGCAGTGAGGCTTCCAGATCGGCACCTATAATACAGGGAGCGGAGCAGAGGTGAAGCGGCACACGACCAGATCACACCGCAGGGTGACGATAATCCCATCCGCGCGCCTTACCGTCCCCGGGAACCGCCATCTTGCGCGCGTCACGTGACCCAAACCCGCCACCCGCGGGAATCCACCCATGTGACCACAGAGCCGAGCCAGTGCGCCTCAGTTCTCGTGGCCAATCGCTGCCCCGGAGGGGGGGGCGGTGGCGAGAGGGGGCGGGGTGAGGCTCTCCCTCGGCGGCATTGGCGGCGATTGGCTGGCGGCCGGCAAGGCCCCTCCGGAGGCGGCGTGCAGCGGGCGAGGAGGGCACTCGTCTGACCAATGAGCGGGCGGAGGCGGGCCTTCGGGCGGGCAGGAGGTGTGGCGAGGGTCCACGGCGCAGCGACCCTCGGCCGGGATGGCGGCGGCAGCGGCGGCGCGTAGCGTTTGGGGCGGGCGGCGACACGTAGCACTGAGGGTGAGGCGGCGGCCACAGAGCACTGCAGGCGGGGCCAAGGATGGCACCCCGGGGGGGAAGTAGGGGATCTGGGGGCGGCGGGGAGCCCCGCGTAACCGGACTGCTTTGTGTCCCCCATCCAGCTGCCGCCGAGAACCGGTGTTCCCTGGATCGCTTCGGCCACCGCCTCCTCCTCTGTGGTGAGTGGCGCCGGGCGGCTCCCCGGGGCAGAAGTGCAGCTGGGCGAAGCGCTCCGGCGGGCGGGCGGGCAGGAGGGGCAGGCGGCGGGCCTGCGGCGGGGCGGTGAGGCTGCGGGGCGGTGGGGCTGCGGTTGGGTAGTTCACCGAGGTTCTGCCGGGCTGGGAGGAGCTCGGATTTTCTGCGCTTCCTTCAGTTCTGGAGGAGATGGTCTTCTCCCGAACGCAGTCCGAGGCTCCGCTTGCCCCGCTGTAATGTCAGCCACATCAGCACTTGTAACGTTTTATTCTTATTTTAACCCACCGCGGTATTCCTTCGCAAGCCAAGGCCTCGCTCATCCATTACCGGCATTAGGTCAGACATCTCACTTCAGCCCTGCTCACTGACAGTGCCTCAGCCCTTGCCGTTCTCTTCCTTTTTCACTCCTCCACTTTTCACTGCCATGACCTGTCCAAGTCAGCCCCATTTATTTTCCTGATTTGTCCTCTGATCTCTCTCCCACCATCACACCAGCGTGAGCATCCCTGTCCTCATTGCCCTCACCAGGTGACCTGCCTGGTGGATGAGGGAAAGGGTGTTGACACAGTCTACCTAGACTTCAGCAAAGCCTTTGGCACTTTCTCCCATAGTATCCTCCTGGAGAAGGTGGCAGCCCATGGCTTGCACAAGTACACTCTTTGCTAAGTAAAGAACTGGCTGGGGGGGCAGACTCAGAGAGTGAATTATCCTGATTTATTCATCTTCATTGATGATCTGGACATGGAAATTTAGTGCACCCTCAGTAAATTTGCAGATGACACCACGGTGGGAGGAAGTGTCAATCTGCCTGAGAATAAGAAGGCCTTACAGAGGGATCTGGACAGGTTAGATCAATGGGCTGAGGTCAATTGTGTGAGCTTTAATGAGACCAAGTGTCTGGTCCTGCACTTTGGTGCACTCCATGTGACACTACGGGCTTGGGATCAAGTAGCTAGAAGACTTTGCAGACGAAAAGGATCTGGGGGTGTTAGATACTGACAGCCAGCTGAACATGAGCCAGCAGTGTGCTCAGCTAGCCAAAAAGGCCAATGATATCCTGGCTTATATCAGAAATAGTGCAGTCAGCAGGGAAGGGATCGTCCTCCTGTACTTGGGATCTCAAGTACTATGTTCAGTTTTGGGCTGGGAGGGAATGGCCTCAAGTTGTGCCAGAGGAGGCTTAGGTTGTGAATTAGGAAACATATTCTTGGAAAGAGTGGTGAGCCACTGGAATAGGCTGGGCTACCCAGGGAAGGTGGTGGAGTCACCATCCTTGGAAGTGTTCAAGAATTGTGTTGATGTGGCACTGAGGAACATGGTTAGTGGGCATGGTGGTGATGGGTTGATGGTTGGGCTAGATCATCTTCGAGGTCTTTTGTAACCTTAATGATTCTGTGATCGCCCTCTCATAACTCCATGTCCCAATTCTCTTCACACAGCTTCCTGATATACATGGTTTTATCCTCATTTCTAAGACCTGTGTACCATCCCTGTTCTTCACTCCGCATCTCTGTTTCCTCTTCTTCCTATCCATTCTCCCCAAGTGAATGTTCTGTGGCAGCATGAAGCGTTTCTCACTTTCTCCAGGTTTCTTCATTACCTCTCAATATCAGTTACTAGTTTCCAGTCTCTTCACTTGTGCAGCCCCAGTTTTTCCTGCATGCTACAGCACTAACTGCATCTTCTGCACCCCTGCTTTTTCTTCTCCATACTTACCTGAGCTCCTTAACCAAAACTTTCATTTTTGTTTCTTCTGCATCTGTACTGAAAAGCTGTGCCCTCTGTGCTGCCTGCCGTGACCATAGCTGTGAGCTCAGCAGCAACAGGTTCCCTGCTCTTGGCTGCAAAACCAGTTGGGAAGCAGGAACAGGACAGCACTGTGCCTACAGCTATGAGCTGGGAGATGAACCAGCTTAGTGACTTGATGGGAAGGAAGCGTAGCGCAGTTTGCACCAAGTGAGCAGAATTCTTACAAAGTGAATTATTAATGTTTGTTTTTTTAATACGTTTAGGAACTGCAGGGTTTTTGTGACTTAGTAATTGTAGTGACTGAGGAGATTAAAATAGTTCTGAACATAATTCTAGCAATGTATATCTTCTGTAATCGTTTTTAGACAGGGTTTTAACAATTTTAGTCTAAATTGAGGGAAAAAATGGAGTACAGGAATAAATGACAAAAGCTTGCACATAATAGGGCACATTGTTATGTGTGCACCTTCAGGCAAAGATCACTCACTGTCCTGTCTTCCACAGCCAACAACCAAACTGTTCATCGATGGGAAGTTTGTCGAGTCCAAGACCACAGAATGGATCGATATCCACAACCCAGTAAGTGAAATGGCTTCTGCTCATATACCCACAATTGGTTGCAAGAGGGTGCTGTGATTTCCTTGAATCATTTGGTGAAAGGGGGAGGTATGTGAAGTGTGTGTGCTTCTGGAGAAAGCTTAGAGTTGGAGCTTAAGATGGATTTAGCATTGTGTAATTGCTTCGCAGTTTCCTCTTCATGTTCAGTGTCAGTCTTAGGGAAGTAATGACCTCTTTTATCTCCCTATGTAGTAAACCCCTGATCTCTAGAGGGAATGCTGAAATCCTTCTTAACTATTTTTCACATAGAAAGGCTTTGTGAAGGTGATGTCAAAATTCCAGAAAGCTTTCTTTCATCTTGCATGTATGCAGCCCGATATAATTTGAGGCCAGCTGAATGTGAAGTCCTGATAAATTGCAAAATGTGTCAGACAAGTCAATGAAATTCCCACTTGGAAACCAGTACTGCATTTACACTTTTCTGTGTGCCTGATTTGAGAAGTGTAGACTGAAGATTTTCAGAACTACAAAATGCATAGAATTCCAGCTGTGGTCCAGGCCTCTCGGTGTGCACTAAGAGAGCAGTCTCTTTTCTGTTTCCCCCTGAGAAGTACAGCTCCTTTTAGAATAAAGGTATTAAGTGTGTGGTGTGCAAGGACTGTTGAATGGTCGGCAAGGACAGCTGGAAAAAATTGAGTTTTGATACAATTTGTTTCTTTCCATCAGGCCACAAATGAAGTGGTTGCTCGTGTACCAAAAGCTACAACTAGTGAAATGGAGGCAGCTGTAACTTCTTGCAAAAAGGCTTTTTGGAACTGGTCAGAAACATCTGTTTTGAGTCGCCAGCAAATCTTCCTGCGTTACCAACAGCTCATCAAAGACAATCTGGTGAGACACTGCGGCTATGTGTGATGGCTGTTGCTGAATGCATTGCAGCTGACTGTGAACGAAATTGAGAGACTTAATCATTAACTGAGTTGCTGTTAAGGTGTTGTTGTCGTAAGTGAGGAGCTGACAGAGTCACCATCACTGAGAGGTAGCAAAGCACCCTCCAGGCCGAAGCAGACACAGAAGCAGTACTTCTTAGGGAATATTATTCTGCATTTGTTTCTTTTACCAAAATGCCACAGGAGGAGCTTGGCGGAGAATGTGCCAGTTGACAAAGACAAGTGAGAGAAGTGTATTTTTGGATTCCCCAGGTTTTTCTGTGTCTGTGTTGTGACACATGAAAGCAATAGAATATAAGCCAGCCCACAGTTGTTTGTTGGTTTTGGTGTTTTTTTTTTTCAATATTGCTTGTGTAGCTCATTGACTTCTTGTCCAGCCCTTGTCGGCTTTCCCAGAATCTATTCAGACTGTAATGTTCAGTAGATGTTAAACTTATCCCTGAGCCCTTCTTCATGGGCAGGCATTTTCCTAACATTCATAAACTTTGTGTTTTCCATTTTCAGAAAGAAATTTCAAAACTCATCACCTTTGAGCAAGGGAAGACCCTGGCTGACGCTGAGGGAGATGTGTTCCGAGGCCTCCGTAAGCTGCTGGCTCCGTCTGTTACAAAAGGGGCTTTCAGAACCCACAGGAAGGGAGGAATTCTCCTGAGCAACTGTTTGCTCTTGGAGTTTGTACATCTAGCTCCCCTCATAACTTCCTTCTGAAAAAGAAGGGCAGTTGTAACTCCAACTTGAGAAGTTCCCTTAGGTAGAGTTCTTAAGTCACTTCCAAGTTGTTTGATCCTTTATTTTCCTAGGAGTGAGTACTGAATGCTGCAAAGAGATAGGAACTTCTCACTTGCTGAAATGTCTGAGGTTGAATCCCAGCTGGTACATTAAAACTACATCTGTACTACTTTTACTGGGGCTGTTGAATCTGTGCTACTATCACAGTGGTGTAAAGCGTACTCAGGAGAGAATCCATTCACAGTGAGCTCACAGTGCTTGGGAGAGCAGAGGGATTTTCTGGAGCACAATGAGTTTTAAGTCGTGGCTGGAAGAAAGACTTGGGTCAAGGTAGTGCTGAGAAGGGAGTATGGGGAGTGACCGTTAACAGATCACCCAGTGGCATGTTGCCCTTTCTGCTGCAGAGGTGGTTGAACACGCTTGCAGTGTGACATCTCTCATACTGGGAGAGACCATGCCCTCCATCACTAAAGACATGGACACTTGCACCTACCGTCTGCCCTTGGGTG